CACAGTGATGTTGTAGTTGTTGCTAGGTCGTGCTTACTCAAGGACTTTTCAGTTTACCATCTTTTCCAGATAGGAGGTGCACAAGAAGCCAGGAGGGAGCCAGGACAGTTGGCCCAAACTAGCCAAAGGGATATTCCATACAACAGAGCATCCTGCCTAGTATATAAACTGGGGGGAATTGGATGGGAGCCACCAATCACTCGGGAAGGGGTTGGGCATCGGTCAGCGAGTAGTGAGCAGCTGTACTGGTCACCACTTGCCTTTCTGGGGTTTTATTTTTCTCTGTCTTTTTGTTGTCTCCCTTTTAATTACAGTTATTTTTTTAATTATATTATTTTATTTCAATTATTAAACTGTTCTTATCTCAACCTACAGGTTTTACCTTTTTTTTCTGATTTTCCTCTCTATCTCACTGGGATAGGTGAGGGTGGTGAGCAAGCTGGCTAGTTTCTGGCTGGGGTTAAACTGTGACAGCTGGCAATAGTTTTGGTTTTATGTTCTTCCAGTATCTCTCAGGACACTTTTTTCCAATTATTTTCTAACTGCGAACACCCCAGTTTATTCTGTTTCATTTTTTCATTCTGGAAAGCTATGATGCTCTTTATGCTCACCATTAAGGTAAAGGATGTGCAAGTAATAACCTTTGCTACTTTCATATCCCTCCCAGTAAAACAGTCTGGTGGTTCTTTTATATCATGGATTTCAGGGTGGCAACCCTTGTTTCCAAAAATTGAGACACAGCAGGAACATCTGTGTTTGCCACCTGCAAGACATTTCCTTCTAGGATCCTGGGGTTGATTGTGGGGCTTCCAGACATTCCTACTGCCTGCTCCCCTGGGTACATAGTAAGGAGACAACAGGTTTACAACTATAACACTGAAGCATGTAATTCTAAACTCTTTAGCACATCCTGCTGTCACTGAAACAGTCTGCCTACGTTCGTTTGAACACTCACCAGCATCTCTCTCAGTCGTGTCTGGCCACTCATCCTTGAATTCCTTTCTAGGCAGGCTCCTTGTTGCTGTTAACAGCAAGGTGTTGACCCTGGCAAAGCAGCCAGATACTGTGGAAAAGAGCCTTCCCCATTACTAGCCACCCATTATATCCTTGGAGAGTAAAGGATTGTTTCTGTTCCTTTTTTTTTTCCCTCTGCAGAATTGATTTATTTCCAAACATAGCAGTATTTATTGCTTACTTTCCTAACTTCTCCTTTTAATCCTGCCACTACCATTAAATAAAATAATGAACCAAGTTACTTATTCATAAAGGCAATGTAAATATTTGCTCTTCGCTGTATTCCAGTAAAATAATGTTGTCATGGATTATTGACAGTAAATTATTTTAAGTTATATATTTAAAAGTAAATGAAACCATGTACATGAAACTATCTTTGACCATTTTTCATCCAGCATCTTATTTTTTCTTTTATCATTGTTGCTATGAGATCTGAAATCTTAATGCTCGTATTTTGATTTCCAGTGTCTTCTTATTTCATTGCTATTGCAAATGCATTCTACTGAGAAATTGTAAACGATTTTCTACATTTGCTGCTCCCTTCCCATCTTCCAATTCTGGCCCAGTTCTGATAATATCATTTATATGTTGTCACTAATAGTGGTCCACTGAGTGTATTACAATTCTCTTGTTTGGGTTCTGCATTTTACATTTGGCTCTTGAAATGTAGTTGGGGAGGAAGAAGGGCATTCCGTCTCAAATAAACCTCTTTTTTTCAAATTCATAGAAGCTATTTGCTACTCTAAGAGAAAATAAAGGAAAGATGGATGTTCTTTAATTTCCAGTGCACTGTTTATCTCAAAACCAGATTTTCTGTTTGATAGGAATATTGTGAGGCATTACTCCCAAGTGCCAACTAGACCCCATGTACATATAAAGTATAAAAAGAACTAGGACATTTTGAACATATATTAATTGTTTTTTCATAAAAATCCCCATTACATACTTTAACATGTGAATCCTGCCCCAATAGATGGCAGCACTTTTCCTCAGCCACAGTGATCTCACTAATTCCTAGTCTACTTCCTTTATAGAGAGTGCATTTATGAAATAGGCTGTAATAGATTCTTCAAGGATGCTTCATAAACCATTCTTTTCTTTTTGAATGGATGGACACAAACATAAGCAAATGGCAAGACCTTAAACAGCTTGAATTATTAAAAATGGGTGACCATAATCTTCCAAGTGCTGATATGTTTTTGCTCTTTGAAGTAAAATAAACTCCATAATTTACAAACATGTAATTTCTTTCCTATTCTGAGAATTCTCAGTAAATTTTCCTGTGATATCACAGGTCTCCAGGACCTTGCTCTTCACACTGCTTAACTTTCAGGAGCCTCCAGCAATACACTGGTGCTATCAGAAAGTCGAAACTTCTGAGAGATGTTTTACAATAAATTATTTTTTTAGGATTTTTTAAGACATCAAGTCGGTAAACATGGTGCAAAATCTGAAGCACAAAATGCAAGAAGTTTCTGCTCCCTCTCAGCATGTTTGGGTTTCGAGTAAAAGTTCATGCTATGTGTTGCAGTTCTTAACTGGAGACGTTTAGAGCTATTTAAAATTGACTATCTACGGAGATGTTTCTAAATACATTTCAAGCTATTAGAATGCAGAGCCATTGCCTCTGTAGGAGGAGCACTGAATGGTCTAGCACTCTGATGACTAAAGAGAAACTCTTAGCAACCTAAATTTAGGCACCTCATTTTAAAAACTTTGGCCCAGATATGTGAACCCAGCAGAATGAGTTACAATAATTCATTTCAAATTCCCTGGCTCTTTCAGCTCCCCAGACTTAGCATTTATTCATATAAATTGCTCACTGTTGCAGATAAATCACAAAATGTAGCCAGTGCAATAACTCTGCACCTGAGCATTATTTAATCCTGTGTTGCAAATGCTGGCAGTACTTTGATTTTTCTCTCTGTGTTATAGCACCTGGCTATTTTGACTTTGTCTGAACATGTTTGGGGGTGAATAGGGAGAAAATGTACAAGTTTTTGCCCTCCTGTTCATCACTGCTAGTTTTCCTAAGAGCTGCTATTCCTCAATTAAGTGGTCAGTTTAATTTTCCTGCCAGCTTAGAATAAATGCAAAGGAGACAATTACCAAGGGGGACAATTTTTCACTGCATGCTTAGAAGAGGATTATTTTGTCAGAAGTGTTGTCTCTAGTGGTTCTCATCTGCTTTGACACCGGTTTTCGTTATTTTCCCATAATGCTGTTTATGATGATGAAGAGAATTACTGTGCTCTGTCTGTGTTGATTTTTCTCTTTCCATGAGTTTGCAATTTCTGTTTTGGGATTTTTGTCTCTTTAAAGGAGTACTTCACCTTGTGGACATGAGAAATAGATGGAGATATGTGTGTTGCCCACAATTTTTCTTATGTTTTTGTGAGCTATGCAAATGAGTAAAATTTTAAAATACATTTATTTAGACAAGTAATTTATACCTTTTTTTTTTTTTTTAAAGCACAGTATAAATTAAGATTAATGTTAAAAATGTTGGTGTTGGCTACTTAGTGAAGTTTTACTTGTTTGTTTTTTTTTTCTGGGATCAGTACTCCCTTAGCCTATATTAGGGATGCATCTCTTGTCATTTCACTGCAGCCTTAGAAGTTGTGGGCGTTTATTCTAAGCCAGTCATCTGTAGTCAGTGTCATCAGAGAAGGTGATTCATCCCATCTGATGCTAAATGTCTGAGGCTTATTATGCAAATCTGTTCTGAAGAGGAAGGTGGTTGATGATGTTCCTGCTCAGCCCAATGCCACAGTCTACAGTCTCTCTGTATCAGTGCAATTGTTTTTGAACAGAGTTCAGAAATTATCCAGGTTAAGAAGCAGTAACTGGAAGCATTTTGTTGATCTGTATTTGGTTTTTTAACCGTGTTCATTTCAGTGATTCATAGGGCCTTTTATAACAGAGCAATAAGAATATCTGTTCAATAAATGGGGTCATACTGGTACAGAAGAAAGAAGTTGTTGAAGGCAGGAACATTCAAAACTTCGTGTAATGAACTGCCTTCTGAAATACGTGTGTGCACTGGGACTGTCCTGGTTTATTAGGTGAGATGAATACACAATAGTAATTGTTTAACCATGTATTAAGCAGAATATTAAGAATATCTCTAGCAGTGTAATGTACACCTCTTGGTGCTTGCTATTGCTCTATTAGCCTGCTAAGTATCTTCAAGTGAGCTTATCTATGTCAAACAGTTAGGAACTTGTATGTATATTGCCAAATCTTTCCTCTGAGGTCCTCAGTACTAGTAGTGCTGTTTGTGATAGCAATCTTTCCTAGTTTTAGCTTCCTAGTGAACCATGAGGGTTACTTGTGTATGGACAAATATGCTAACTGCTGAGATGGGCTGTTTCTTTATAATATGTAATGATTGTCCAAGTCCATATCAGGAAGCCAGAAAAAGTGACCATGCCTTTGTGACATACCTTTACCTTCAGTACTGTGTAAATATGAAGAGACGATGACTTATATGAACTCCACTTGAGTGTCTTCATGGTGTTTTCCATGAAATAGGTTAACTAACAATTAAACTATCAGAATTACAGTGGGGCAGAGACAGTATGTTTTGAGAAGCACATTGAAAAGAAACCCAACCTAGTAGGATGCATTAAATATATCATACAAAAGTTAAACCTCATGAACTGCATGTTTGGTGTTCAGTTGTTCATCACAGAAGCCCTTATGTTGATGCACCACCCTGCTGCAGGATGCTTTTGTGGTATATATGCATGGTCAGGGTACTTTGGGTTAGGAACTGAAGTCAGGAAAAAGTGACTACCACTAATAAGATACTGTCCCATGAAGAAGGAGAGGAAGAGATGAAAAGAACTATACTGAAACAATGCCAATAACAATGAAAACAATCAAAATGAGCTTTATAGTACATTTTTATATAAGTTTTTTTCTGGAATATATTTCACGTGTTTTATTTATTTTTATTATTATGTTTCTTTTTATTTTTGTAGGCTGTGGAAACCAACCTTGCATCAAAGGATAGTCACTGGGTCTATGTAAATGAGGTAAGAAAGTCAAAAGACAAAATACAGTTTGCTACATTGTCTCACCACCATTTTTTGTTTTGTATGTTTTGACACACCAAACTGAGCATATACTTACCATTTTTGCTTTTTGAATGGCACAAGGTGCAAACTGTGCAGTGTCACTGCTTACCTGTCTTAGTTGAATTGGCACAGGTTGAACACCAGAGGTCAAGATAAAGCTTCCAATACACCTCATAGCGGCTGGGAGACTTTATTTTTTACCTGCATGCTGATGCTATTTCATTAGCAATTTAGGAAGCAGAGAATATATCAAAAGAAGCCTCAAATATAGGCATCTCTATCTGCCAGGAGCTCACTCTTCACTGCTATGAAAGCCCTCACACAGGTGCCAGGACAGGAAAGAGCGCTGAGGTGGTTGCAAGCTCAGCTCATTCAAATTTACATGATACACAGGTTTTCTCTAGTGCAGAACTGTGTTGGTGCATTGGCCAAGATCCAGAAAAGCATAGATTCAAAATGTGATGTTTCCTCTCTGCAGCAAATGGTGTCCTGTCCTGCTACTGTGATTATTTATTTTACCTTAATACCATGATATTCTAATGGGAATCTGTTCAGATTTGTATTTAAAAAGCAGTGAAATGTTTTATCATATATAATAATGTATAAATCACTGGTAAATTTCAGTATTTTATATATCTGTGGTTTTAATAATGATTCATTAAAAGATAGCATAATATCTAAGTTAAAAAGAACAGTGTTCACTGTCTTATTTTTATTTTATAAATACACAGCCTTTAATTTAATAACGAATTCCTTGGTTAATTTCTCATTCCTTTCTTTGCACCTAGTTAATAATTTTGGATAGGCAACTTTTAATAGTAACATTAAATTGTATTGTGTGGCATTAGAAAGGCTCTGTAATTAAACAGGGTTTAGGGAAAGCGAGTGAAATCCCAGCTTGTGAAGGCTTTATAAATTCTTTCTGGTCCTTGTTACATTTAAGTACCTCCTGGTTTGTCAGCTGCAGTAATGACCCACTACAAAACATCAGCACGATGCCCAGAGAGCCAGTGTTTATATTCACATAAAGATAATACAGTGCATATTTCCCTAAACATTTATAGTCAGGGAGTGTTTGTGAATTTTTTATTGCTGTGTTATTGTTCAGATGTTAAAACTCACTTCATGATGCCTGAATCCGGAAAATCAAAATAAAAGCCTTCAGCACTCATGCACTAACATGTGCATGCATACACATGCACAAACACATCACACAGGGTGTCAATTCTGCTTCTATTTTGGGAGCTGTTATTTTTTTTCTTTTATGGCTGAAGACTGGGTAGGGAAGCCACGATAGCACCATGTAAATCTAAACTATAACTTTCTAGTGAAAAATATTATTACATGTAATTATAAATATCATAAAATGAAATGAAATTCGAACAGACAATTACAGAAGCTTTTTAGACTCATGAAACTTTGGAGAGTTCTTTGCAGGCAAAAATCTCTTGACTGTCCTCTCTCTAACAGAAGAGTGTTGGTCTTTGTGAGTTTGCTTAAAGCTGCTATGAAAAGAAGGTACATCAAGCATCCATATGAATGCATCTATAGACAGATGGAGATTCCTTATGGCTTGCTTCTTATTTAAGTGTGCATGTGAATACCCCCATGCTGGTAAGAAGACAGACTGATCACCCTTTCCATGTACAAGTTTCCAGTTGGTAGTAGTGAGAACTACATGAGTACTTGATGGAAAATGTAATGCTGGCTGTTGCTGTGATTTGAAGAATGGAATGAATTTTTAATTCCCAACAATCAGCTCTTCCCAGTCAAATCAGCTCTTTTTGATGTAATTCCTCAAGAGTAGCAGTCCCATTATGTAATGGACCAAAAACTCAGCTAGGCCTTTTTTTCTCCCAGGCAGATGGAAAATCCTCCACTTTTCTGTTCAACCTATGTTCTGTGTGACCTAATGATCCTATTGCAAGGAAAGAGAGGTGTAAGGCTGACTGACCTGAAGGGGCAGTAGTAGTAAGAGAACACAGTGACAGATTTTTCCATTGAGGTTTCTTGTATGACAAGCATTTGATTGTAATCAGGCTCTTCAGGCCTTTCTCACTCCATGAAGAATTTAAGGTCCTTAGCAGCTCAGACTGCCGAGGTCTGCTGGTCTAGAACACCTTTTATTTGCCCCATCTCCCACCTTTTGACAAGCCAATAGGATCTGAAACTTGGACTTACCTTGCTGTAGTAAGAATTACTACATAGCATGCAATTATTTTTATAAGAGATTTTTTTTATTGTCTTACTTCACTTAAATCTACTTTACTATCTCTGTACTGACAATTTGTGGGTTGTTTTCCTTGTGTATCTTCCCATACAGTAAGACAGGAGTTAGGTTTTGGAGTTAGACTTAAATTTTATTAGGTGAGCAACACCACCAAGCTTGGGATGAGATAACTTAAATCTCTATGGTTGGTAAGGTTATTGCCCGGCAAATGAGCAAATGTAGAATATAAGAGTTGTTCCCAAATTACAGAGCTGTACTGTCAAAATCCCTGTGCTGGTTTTCAATAACCCAGGTCTCTGTGCTGGGGTATCTGTTCAGTTTGGATGCCACTGCTGGTGCAAAAGGACTCCATCATCTCAGTGAATTGGGAGTTGAATTTACTGCATGAGGTTGGAAGGCTGAAACATTACATGGCAAGTTTTCTAGAATAAGGGAATACACAGGGATGGGTCTTTGCAGGCAATATCATGTCCTCATATGTCCTCTTTGAAGCCAAGTCATAAAAACCTTACTGCTTTAAAAATATATAATTTTAAGTGTGTCTACTTTTCTGATTTCAGACATGTTATGTTTCAAACTTGCAGAACTGTCAAAAGTACTGGAGATTAGAGGGGGAAAATGGTTTTCTAACTACCCAACCCCTTTTAGATTTATATTTCATCGTCTGCGCTTTTATTTTTATTCATCTAGAAATACTAAATCATCCCTTGCCTCCATTTAGGTAGCAATTCTACCTGAATTCTGGGTTAAACATGCCAAGTAGCTTTTTAAGAGCAAGAACACTTGTGATTTCTGTACAAATCCTTGCAAAAGCAAACAACTCTTCCAAACAATGACATGCTTAGCTGTGTCTCCAGAATAGTCCAAAATATTTTATTACCTGGGTTGGGAGTTGCCAATGACTAGCATTTTAGACCCTATGAAAGATCTGCAAGAACATATCTAGTCTTCTTGTACAATTTTTGTTTGTGCCTTTAATTGTTGAAGTGACCCACCAGCTTTGATAGATGTGTGTTGCTGCTTCTTTTGCCATGACTGGCACAGTTGTAGACACCTCCTGGTTTTTTGGATATTTATTTCCTGTCTTTTTTCCTAGTTTCCCTTCCTATTTTTATTTTTCTTTCATACCTGGCATCAAGCATCTCTCTTGGTTCCTTGAGACATTTTTCATTCTCCCTTTCTCTTTTTCTGCCTTTTCTAAGAAAATTCTGTGCCCACCCCAGGGCACATATCTGTGGGAGAGGCACAAGAGCACTACTTGAAACTGAGTTTGTATGTGGTTGTACCAGAAGCAGAACTCTAAGAGCCTGTGTCTGCTTCTTTATTAGTAGCAGCAGTAGGCCTGGGAGTATAAATAGCATTAGGGACCACATTTCTCTGGCTGTGGGACATTTAATGGTTTTGAAATTTTCTGCATTCCAAGGATAGAGAAAAGATAAAATATACTACTCTGCAAAACTGTAATATAGACCAAAACAGATAGTCAAATTAAACAGAGTATTTTATTCCCTCATATTAATAAATGTAATTTTAATTCTAATTTTCTAAACATTCATTATTTTTATGTGTAAATCAGTATGAAAAGCAATGAACTACTCTTCATGGAAGAGAAATGGGTACTGAATTTGACTGATAGTTCAATTGAGAGTTGTTCCACTCTTATCTCATCCTTCCTTTAATTTCTTTTTCAACAAACTTCCACCACTATTCAGAAGTTTAATTGAAAGCTGTAAGACATGGCAAGACAAAGCACAAAACTATTGATTATATAGGAGATTATTTTTCATGAAAGACCAGTAAGGATGAAGAGAGGGCAACATAATGTTGCTTGCCCTAACCATATGTTTCTGCTCTGAACTTAGGGAGAGGTGAGGGACAAACCTTGTTCAATAGCTGCCTGGAAATACACAAAAGAAAGAAAGACTGAGAAAGACCTTCTTTTGGAAGTGTATTTTCTTTCCTTTTAAAGAAATGCCCCAGAGAAAAGAAATTAAAATGAAGGTTTTAATTTTCCTGGCATTTGAAAAAGTAATGTTGGGATACAGACAGGGCTTCACAATTTCCTGTGATTGACAGCATTATCCCTACATGTTTAAAAAGTTTAAGTCAGCCATCAGTTCAGATTTCATTATGGCTAAGGAAGAACAGGATGAGGAATCCAGAAGATAATTAGTTTGAAAGTGATTATGACATGGTAGCATCCACTGTTTGGAGAAGAGGAAGAGGTGGGAAAAGGTCAATGGGGATAATAGGAATCAGTAAAAAGACTTCACAACTTTAGGAAACTAGTAGCACTTTTGGAAAGATAATACAGTAAGTAAAGGATGGCAAAAGAACTGTGGAATTCTGTGGAGATGAAGGCATAACAAGGTATAGTCGTGGTTCCAATGGGTTAACTTTACTGAACTTGAAATCAGAGGTGAATTCTAAAGAAAAGGTGTTGAGAAGACAAAGGGAGGAGTGTAAAGGTGTAACAGAGTGATTATAAAATGAGGGTGTGGTTCAAAATGAGTCATACCATGTATCATAAAAAGCAACCAGAAAACATTTAGGTGTAGCAGAAGATAAAGGGAAGTGTAAAGTGATTACTTGATGGGAAAATGAGGTTTTAATGGTTTTACTGAGTTCCTGGATGCTGACTTTGTAGAAACTATTAATTATAACCAGACTTAAAAACATATTGTAGTAGACCCCGTTTATTCAGAAAAATCTGAGGCACTTCACGAGA